GGTCCTGGTAGAAATCATGTTAATGTCAAACAGGTATATATATATATCATATACACTATCATATACTATACGTCTGCAGGTGTGGGTCTCACAATATCACTTGCGCATGCCACGTGTCTTCCAATGCAGCATTTTGAATCAATTGAGCATGGGATCTACATTGCCCACCCCAAACTTGATCCTCTCATATCCTCGGTAACCTGTAGCTTGTTAATAAGTCACTCCTGTTTGTGAAACCTCTCCACCTCTCTCCAGCTTTTACTCATCAAATCTCAGTCAACATGACATGCTGAGACATGCTACATACTCCTCTCACGCCTTGCCAGCCACCACAGCCCCCAAAGGCATCCAATCGAAGGCCGTGTGGACCGCCTCGAAGACCTATAGTTTTCGCGAGGAGCACAGCCAGCCACAGGTGATTTGATCGGTTTTGGAAGGTATCCAAGTAAGTCACGGGCTTCAACCCCGGTTACGCTTGGCTTTCTGACATGCCTCTCAAGCAAAGATTGAAGGCCCACCATGGACTAAGCCGAAGCTTGATTGTCAGCAGCACAAATTCATAAATACCGACAAAAAAGCTGTACCAAACTCACATATCGGCCCACTGGTCTCGGCCCTCCAGCACCATGGCAAGCATGTGGTTAGACGGGTGAACCTCCTGTGAACCCCATATGTAGCATAGTCCACATTATAGTCCAATCAGTGAACCCACTGTCAAACCTGGTGAACCCCCGATTCCCACTGTGAACGGGGGGATCCATTAGGAGTTATATTAGCCCGCCCGAGAATCGCAAAGACTTGCGACTCACATGAGTGCAGCACCCGCTGAGAATCGAATCTTTGCGCGGAACCCCTCACTTTCCATCCGGGTCCCAGGGCTGATCGCCATCGCTTCTTCATGCGGCTCTGGCAGTGGAACCTGGGGATGAGGCATTGGATGCATACCTCACACGACGGAAAATGTAAGGCAGGTATAACTATAATTCTGGCAATTTGCCGCATACCGAGAGGACTGCAAACCTTTCCCCAGCCCCGCTGAGAGGCTCTCTGTGGAGCTCCTGGGTCCTCACATGTCCTCACTGGGAACTTGGAGAGTAAAGGTTCAAGCTTCACCGGTCACCAGGTCCAAATCATATCGCAAAAAAGGTACGTGATTGGCAGCCATGATGGAATAGTACAGCTGTGTACTAGTAGCTTGAGCTATGCAACAATAGGTCTGACCTTCTTGCCCCTTTTGCACGGTTCCACGCGTTCGTCCAGGCATTCGCACATGGATTCGAGTCTTGGAATCCACCGCTATGCATTGCGCCAACATCTCGAAGGCTGGGGTCCACGCGACCAGTCACGGCGGTTGCTGTTCTTCAATTCGACCGGTCACGAACGTTCTTCTGCACCCCGGGCTTCGATGCGCGGCGAAGTCGCGACGCGACGCGTGGCGTGGCATGAGGCCCGGCAAAGGCTGCGACGACACCCTGTTTGAGCGCTCACCGACGGCGGAACGATCGGAACGTTGAAAGTGCCGGATCTGATCCCATGTTTGAACACTGGGAGGCTTTGACCATCCGAAGTCTTGCATTCTTTGAAAATGGATGATGAACACCGATACTTCGCGAGTTTTTACCGACCGTTGTTTTGCAGACAGCAGCTGTGCACATCTCCTGGGTACTTTGCCACTGAACTAGGTACATCCCCCCCCGGCCCCTCAGTTTTGAAGTCATCTTAAGTCGGTTTGCGATCGACGAAGAAGAGCCAAAAGCCAAAGGCACCGACTACTTTCCGATTTTCCAATCAACAGGCCTAGCGGCCTCCCTCTCATGCACGTCAATGGCAACATTTTGAGTTGTGATGAGTTGTGCAGCTGTTCAGTGCGGCTGGCACCCCAAAAAGCGATAGGCTCCCCTCTTTAGCGGTACTAGAGTCATCTTGCTTCTCAGGGAAAAGCTCCCTGTCTGTGACACACCATACATATCCCCCTTATCCTTCGGCCTTTCTCTTGACCAAAACATGTGACGTCAAAACCTGTGACGCTGCGGCCAGGTGACAGGAATCCCAGGTCGCCCATGTTTTCGCTCATGTCGCGGAACTCGTGGTTGCCGCGCACCAAGTACACCTGGAAGACCCACGTGGACTGGAAGACCAACGTAGTAAACTGCGAAGCCCACAGATACGCATCGTCGGAGCGGTTTGGTCACGCTCAACCCTCAACCAAACACTCCGTCAACAGGTTTTCAGCACGGGGGGGTCGCAATTCCGGCGCTCCACGTGAACCAGTTGGATCGACGGCTTTCACATGCATGGGGGGAGGACAGTTGGCTGGCACTCTGCCTCCATAGCAATGGTAATTGTATTCTTTGGGTTGAAGCTATCCAACAACAAAGCAATTCTGATAGTATTTGACTCAATACCTCTGAAGTTGAGAAAATGACAGCGACCTCCCAAGTTGGATCGTCTGGGTTGCTTGCCCAGCAGCCAGTGGATGCAAGCAAAATGCATTTCCCAAATCCCCTACAAAGGGATCAGGGATAGTGGGGAGTCGCTTGGTCCCAAAGAATCAAATCCTGGGTGATTTGTCCACTATATTATTGACTATGATTCAAGTTTTGAAGGTATGCATGATTGAGCAAGTGCTGGTTTCAGTTCAAACCTTGGCACTATGGCAACAGATGGCATCACGATGGTCACTGTGGTCTCCAAAGCGACTTCGGTCGAACGTACGTCCAACGGCGGAAAACGCACATTTCCGGCTCACACGCTCGCCGGTTCGCCTGCATGGGATATACCACATGCAAAGCAAAGAGCAGCGTCACCACTTCAAGCCTCAAACGCCCGGGGGCTGATTTGCTGAAGTGACATTGGACTGGAGGAGGATTTGTTGTGATCAGTGGTTAGATTGACATTCCCTCTTTCTTGACGGCAAACAGCAAGCAGCGCTCTGACTTGAGGCTCTTCGTGCAGTGCTTCTGACTTCACTCAATTCGCTCTGAATTCATCAGCTCTCTTTACTCCTTTTAGATTTAACCCTCTCTCGCTTCAAGAAATATCGTTTCCAGGTCCAAAGTAAAACGAGAATAGCAACCGCTAGCCCACTGTTTGATAAAACCCGTAAATAGAACCCATTCAACATGTTTGTTCATCTGCTCTATTCTGAAACTATCTGAAACGTTCTGAATCGGCACGCTTTGCAACTTTTCGTCAAGGCCATCAGTCCAGACTGCTTGTTGCAGCCTCTGATCTCTGGAGATCGGATGTGCGCCTAAGGCGGCATCGCCTCATTCACATCGTAGATCATTTTGATGAGCAGCGCCCCCCAGGCGAGCAGAAGAAATGCGCAACTCCACATGGCATAGGTGGTATCCTTGCCAGGTAAGCCATCGGACGCCCCCGTACCAGCTCACTTTCCAATTGGACTAATTGGACTATATACCGTATCCTCCCCTCTTGATTGATCTAAGTTTGGAGCATTTTCATGCTGTGACCATCTAAATGAACCATCACCTAAGCAACCAGTTCTCCTTCGTGTAGGCAAACATTGGGAACTCGGAGAAGGGGAAGTACATGTCGTGATGCGTGTTGGGAAGTATGTTTCCAGCCAGGTGATCATAGTCAGAAAAGAACTGCGCAAGATTCCAGCCAGTCCAAATCATCATCGCGTAGATTGCGCGGAGGTACTCTCCTACAAGAGCAGCAGGTTGTTGAAGCCTTTGGGACCCCCCCGTGGAAGCCAACGATTGCTCCGGGGCCTTTTTAGCGGCCTCATCCTCTGCATCAAAGAGGCTACCTGGGTTGGTGGCAAAAATCAGCAGCAGCATCTGACGAGTAAAATTGGGGCTCATGAGAATGAAGATGCCCACATGGAAAGACGCAGCTCCAATGAGGAAGGTGAAGCGCATTTTCCTCTGCACTGGGCCCTCTGTCATACTCAGCATCGCAGCGACAGGGAGCACAATTTCCACGAGGAAGTTTCCCCAAGACAGGAGCATACAGGTCCAGGGAACCTTGGTTCGTGGTTGGGAAAAAACACATGCCCTTGGTTCCTTGGTCGTCTCAAGGTCGCACACTGAGAGTTGTATACAACATCAACAAAAAGAATGGTCTTTAGAGTACCTGATTTCGGGAACTTCCTTCTAGTCTTTCGACTTCTAGAGCACAAGTTTTGAACAGGAACAAGTTTTGGTGCCACCAAACTCGAAAATCTTCGGTTTCTCCACCCAGGAGCCTTTAAGCCCCAAATGCCTGGCTGGCCCAGCACCCAGGCGGTGAGCCCAGTGACCAGCGAATGATCCCTTTCGCCATGGAGCGGACCATAGATCCACGCGCCGGAGAGGTTGTGCAGGAGGCCACAATACCTGCCAAGAAAACCACGCCGGATCCCTGACAAGGGATCCATATCAACATGAAGCAAGCAATTGGTGGATCACCCACCAAGACCAAGATTTTAGATTCAACGCGTCCGCGAGTGGCCTTGAAAAGCTGCTGACAGGGGGGCTGAACGGAAGGGCGTAACGACCTGTTGACAGGGGGGCTAAGAACCTTCTCACATGAACTTGCTGGCCACTAGTCAATCCCAATGAACTTCAACAGCTGCGACTGCCACAAGCGTGAACTACCTTCGGTCTGCTGGCATGATGGTGGGTCGACGTGCAGTGCACGAAAGGATATATGGATTCGTGAAAACCACCGCCAAAACAACTGGTATACGGTATGTATGCGGCAATTTCATGCAATTTACATGCTATTTTCATGGGTCACCAGGTGCAGTGCAGGTGGTCAAACACGAGAAGCAGCCCACCTGAGCTTGCTCAAGCCTGCGAACCAATAGCAGGGGATCAGCACATTGAGAAGCAGGAATTTCCGCAACCAATTCCCTGCCATCGGGTTGGTCTCCAGGAAGGGCACTACGAACATAGCGGAGAAAACGAAGAGTGTAGTTGCCTGGACAGTGTGGAGAGGGTTGTACATCACCTCCAATATGCTCAAGTAGGTGTAAGCCAACGCGCCACAACTGTAGCGCCACTTGCCTTATTTTTGGACAAGAAATCGCTTGTTTCACACCTAGGAAAGCCAAGCAGGCCTTGGCA